AGCAAGTTAACTCTTTCCTTGTGTGCGTCGGCTGCAAATAGGTTAGGGTTGAAAAGAATAAAAGAAATGGAAAGGTAGAAAAAAGGTTTTAAGGAATTTAAAAGACAGAAATGGTTGAAGACAAGGAAAATGAAATTATGGAAAAGAAAGAGGTGACTTACAATTCAAGAAACAACACTTACGCAACCTTTCTCAAGAAACAATAAGGTTATCTTCTCTTAGTGTAGATGGCCTCTTTGATGTACTTTGCAATGGTAGAGCACTTTCCTTGGCTTGCTTTCTCCTATTTTTACTTCTTCTTTTCTGAATGTTCTTCTTTTTGTATTTTGAACTTCTTTTGTTGGTTGTAGGAGTCTTTTTTTTCCTTTTCGAACTTCTTTTCTTTTTCTTTTTGCTTTGCACGCCAATGACACTTTTGTTGTCAATCCAACTATGCTATGATTACCGCTTGATGTAAGGCGAATCTACACGCTTTGATGGAAGAGAGTAGATAGCCTTATTGTGTCCCGATATTGGATTGACAAGTACCGATCTCCTTGAATTTATAAGTTTGGGATGCAAAATAAGATAATAAATATGATTAATAATGGACTTAATAAAGTGAATAATAATATAAGTAATGAAAAGAAATAATAAGAATGATATGAAATAAGGAAAGAATAGAGATGGCTGCAGAATTGATGGAAGAGATGGATGATGGTGATGATGAAATGGAAATGGTGGTGATGTTGTATCTCAAACATGCCAAAGAGGAAACTATGTTATGAAGCACAATCCCGATCTTCACAAACTTGCTTGAGGGGTGGTGATAGTTTCTTCAACCCACTAGATAACAATCTAGGAATTTTGGAATCAAAATGGAAGGAATGACGTCACAAGTATAGGAACTATACTTGTTTAATCGATAAAGTTCACAAAGAACTTTGAAGAGAAATAACTCACAAGAGTATATTTTATATAAGATATGAGATGGGTACAAATGAAGGCAAGCCACTCTATTTATAGGAAATGAGAGGGCTTGGTCGAATGGTTACAAGTTATTTCGGCTAGAACATGTCTCTAGGAAAATACATAATGCTTGAGATGAATGAATAAGTCCTTTGGGCTTGTGATGGTTCGGCTAACTCTTCATGAAAGGCCTTAATGATTCGGTCAAAGGGTGGAGAGACATCTCCCTTGGCCGAATGGTGCATGCTTGTTCATCTTGGCGCCAATTTCCTCTCCTTGGCCAAATAGTCATGTGCCTTATCATGTTTGGAGCCAAAGCTTCCATGTGCAAGGCATGTGGTGTGACCGAATAGGCTTGGAGCTCTATCTCATGTCTCTTGGTGATTTAAGCTTCTAATACTAGCAATTCTTTCACCAACGTGCTCCTAGATGAAAAGGCATCTTCATGGGCATCATCATTCATGAAAGGTCACAATGTTTGAGAAAGGTGTCCCTTCATGTTTGAGCTGCTTATGGTGTGAATGAGCTAAAGGTGAGCTGGCCATAGGTGACTTGTGACATGGTGGACGTTTGGGCAGCTCCTTGTGAAAAGGTACCTCTTGAGGTGGCAACTATTCGTGAAAAGGTATGATTTCACAAATTTTGACTTAGGACATATTTGAAGTGTCCTAAGTGGTGATGATGATGGAGCAACTCCCCAGCTGAAATAAGGTCATCCTGTAGCTCAAATCTTCAGCTCAATCTAGCTATGAGCTCACGCCTCCGGACAACTTTTCACCAATTGTTCCTTGTGCTCTCTAATCGATCCCAGTAAGTTCCTTGTGTTACATGCTCCATTTAGCTCTAATGCAGCTCCCAAGTGTTGGCCGAATGTCCTACATGTATAACATAAGAAATAAACTAAGTATATAAGCTTATATAATGTGTATATTATAATATTGTGACTATAGTATATAATAATAACTTGTATCTCATATATAAATGGATAACTTATTATCATAATAACTATTGGTATAATATATATATATGAAAATAGCTATCTTATAAAAAATGAAATAAGCATCTATAGGTATAAAGATAGAAAGTTTCTTCCCTGGAGAGGTTGGAATAGCCATGGTAAATATGATGCTGAATTGGATCACATTAGGGTATGTTTTTACTTTAGGTAGAGCAATCTCGTGGAAATCATCAAATCAGACTTGTATTGCTTGTTCTACCATGGAGTTAGAATTTATAGCTCTTGACCTAGCGGACAGGAAGCCGAGTGGCTCAGAAACTTGTTAGCAGATATTTCGTTGTTGGGAAGACCAACTCCTCCGATTTCTTTATTGTGTGATTCACAAGCTGCGATATGTGTGGCTAAAAACCAAGCTTACAATGGTAAGAAAAGACACATTTCATAAGATATGAATCAGTTACACTTACTAAAGAACGGAGTACTCTCTTTAGAGTATGTGACGTCGGAAAGGAACCTAGCAGATCCACTTACCAAAGGGTTAAGTAGGAAGCTAGTCCTAGATTCGTCGAGGGGGATGGGTCTAAATCCCATTGGTTGAGGAATTCATGGTGGATACCCAACTTAGTTATCTAAGTTCCATGTAGTCAAACGAAACCATTGAAAGACTCATAGTGCACATTTCTAATGCCTATCCCTATGATGCATAATGTGCATGCCTAGGATGAGCTTAATTGCTCTTAATAAATTCATAGCCCAGACTTTGGGTGGTCTTAGTGAGAAAGACTTGATGCATTTACCGATTTTGGCTGAATATCTATTCTTAATAAGTTCATAACCCAGAGTTGAGTGGGTAGTTCTAATCGCGAAGGACTATATGAACTTACCGCTTGAGAGGATGAGTTTTCTTAAACTCTTAATGAATTCAAACCCAAGATAATGGGAGTTCCTAGTGATAAGGACATATTGAATTCACCGAATTATGAGGTTGAATATTTATTCTTAATGACTTCTTATCCCAGAGTTTGGGTGGTTCATTTTTAATGAACTTGAAGAAAGTCACCATACTCTTTATGAGGTTGAGCTATTATAAAAGCTCTTAATTATTTCATAGCTCAATTTGAGTGGTTTATGTTGAGATAAACTTGATGAAGTAACCTACGTAAGTGAGAAGGATTAGCCATCTTCTATGAAAAACGTTGGGCCGTTTTTCTAGTACACTTATTAGAATCCTGAGAAAGAGGGCTAAACACATATACCCTTTTGTATATACTCTTTATAGACACATCTAAGACTTTGGTGGATGAACTGGTTAGTTGTGTGTTATGAGTTTACCCCAATCTTAGAAAGTTCAAGACTAGTTTCACTTATCTAAGATAAGGATTGCTCATCATCACTATGTACTAGTTCCAGATACGTTCACTAGTGCTTAAGCAACTAATCTCGCTATTGCTCTTCTCATGTTTTAACTTCATTACTCTCATCTTTACAAAAGAATTCTTTCGCATTAGTGGGGGAATGTTGATAATGCTAAATTAAGTATTGGATAATGCTCATTCAACTAGCATTGTAAATATGCTCAAAATTGTCATTTCTTGATAATGCTCAATGTTGATAATGATCATGCTCATTCAACTAGCATTGTAAATATGCTCAAAATTGTCATTTCTTGATAATGCTCAATTTTGATAATGATAATGCTCATTCAACTAGCATTTTAAATGTGCTCAAAATTGTCATTTCTTGATAATGCTCAATTTTGATAATGATAATGCTCATTCAACTAGCATTGTAAATATGCTCAAAATTGTCATTTCTTCATAATGCTCAATTTTGATAATGCTAATGCTCAAATTAGGTTATTCCACTAGTATTGGAAATGACAATTTTACCCTAACTATTTAGCCTATAAATAGAGAGCAATTTCATTCATTTTGATATATCCAAGCAAAACATTTGTTTTGAAAACATTCCTCTCTTTTGAGTGTTGTTTGAGTTGAGAGAAGAGCAATACCACCAAGTTCACTCCAGTTTTCGGGTGTACGAATTCTTGGAGAGCCGTGTTAACCTCGGGGGAACGGTCCGCCTATTGCAGCGATTACACACATCGGGGCGAATTCGTTTCTAAGGTAGTGGTTTTACCACGACACGGTTTATCAATATGTTTCTTTTAAATTATTATTTATTTTCTGTTAGTGCTAACGGTGTTATTTTGCAGTACATATGTCCAACAATAATAATCAATAATTAAATACTATATAAGCATAACTAATAATATATATATATATATATATATATATATATATATATATATATATATATATATATATATATATATATATATATATATATATAATGAAATCCCCGGACAAAATGAGATTCTACAAAAAAATAATAGAATTTGCAGTAAAAACACGAGAAAATAATAAGTGAGACGCACAGAGGATATTACTTTTCAATTACTTGTGATATGTAGGTTTTTATAAAATCATTAATTATAGGGATTCAATCACCGAAGATAAAGGTTGAGTGAAATGAAAGATGGAGGTGTTATAATGGACATACACAAAATAATATTTATAATAATACAAATGTAACTAAATTCTTCACTTATAAAAAATCGACCAAGACAAAATTTAAAATTTGTATTTATGTTAAACAAAAACAAAATCTAAATAAACGAGACATGATTTTGTCTAACATATTATGCGTGAAATTTTCTCTAGAAAAGATTGAAATAAGATTGAGTAAAACTAAAATTACAGAAAAGTGTGTGGGACGTAAATTGAAGAAACGACAAAATTGGATGACCAATCATTTGGCAAGCAAGTACCTCATCTCTCGGTCAGCTCGTGGGATATAAAACGTGCAACCCTTTTTCTGCATTTGTGTTCAATCCTCCATTCATTCTAAGCTACATCCCTAAGAAGTTTCTCTCTTTCTCTTACTTAAAGCGATATTGGGTGAATACCAGCAACGCAATGAGTAAGGCCTCCTTATACCCCTTATTCTTCTTTTGTTACTTTTAAAATTATTTTAATTTATATTTTTATTTGTTTTGATAGAGGTTGAGAAGGAGACGAGAAAACTTCTTCAGATGGCTGCACAAAGGAGGAGGAGATTAAGAGCGACAATGCAAAACTTGATGGTAAGCTCTCCAAAAGAAGAAAACAACAAAACAACAACATCTTTGATTGACAAATTAATGGGTTTACTACGAGTCCATGTCAAACGTGGCGTAAACCTTGCTGTTCGGGATGTTCGAAGCAGTGACCCTTACATTGTTTTTAAGATGGGCCACCAGGTCTTCTTTTTGTTCTGCTGTTTCAATATTAATATTCACCTTTATAAGAATTATAATATATGTAACTTCTTGATATGTTTTTTTTAGAGACTCAAGACTCGTATAGTAAAGAAGGATGTAAATCCTGAGTGGAATGAATATTTAACTCTGTCCATAACAGATCCTAATATTCCAATCGAACTGGTAAGTATATTGATTACCATATACCATAACTTGATCCTTAAGGCATTCCTTTGTTTAACTATTTGTGCATGACTCCAGACTGTGTACGACCATGGTACATTTACTAAGGACGACAAAATGGGAGACACTGAATTTGAGGTTAGCCCATATATAAAAGCCTTGAAAACACATACCAATTTGGATGAAATCCCAAATGGAACTGTGTTATCAAGATTACAACCAAGCGCCTCCAACTGCCTGGCTGAGGAGAGTCTCATATACTCGAAGGAAGGGAAGATCGTCCAAGATCTTATCCTCAGATTACGAAATGTAGAGTGTGGTGAAGTAGAAATTCAACTCGAATGGATTCACTTTCCTGGATCTAAAGTCTTCCTAAGTCGATGAATATTTTTTTTGTTTGTCGTATATTTATTCCCCACATTTTCACAATTGGATGCCCTCTCACTTTGCTGCTTACTCCATATACGGAGAGTGTGATTCAACCAAAATCCAGCAGTCCTCATCACAAGCCGCAAAGGAATAGGCTCGACAATGAGATAATTTTTTTATCCGAGCTCGAGATACCAAGGATTGATGTTGCAAGATAGTGACTATGAATTTCTCCAACATAACTTACATGTTTTGATAACAAAAATGATTCTTGCTCAATAGGTAACAAAAAGTTGGAGGCAAATGAGGTAGGGGTAATCTAATAATCAGAAGTCTCGTGTTCCTCTTCATTTTGAGATGAATCACTTATGACTTCATAGTCAGTGACTCTTCGGAAGTCAGTTGGCTTTTTTTGTCTCCTAGGTGGCAAGTATGGAAACTTAAAACATAAAAGACTTCAATTTAGACCCATAATCAGTTAAATTTTGTTTTGATATCAATATATGTAACACCACATATTTTGTTTTGTCTTACAGTAGGCCGAACATGCTATGTTAAGATAAAAGGGCAAAAATATTTGATTCAAAAAAATTAAACTAACTATCAATTATACATTTAATTATGGGTAATGACTAAATCATAAAACACTTCAATCACGTAGGCCATCATACAAACAATTACAAATATGGGCAACAAACTATAAACTTATGAAATTTTGCTTCTTTGTATCAATAATGGCTCCAGGGTATCGATACCCTTGGTTTGGCATCAACAATGTTATAATATCATAATGATTATTGTCAAACAAAAAAACACGGTTGAAAAAAAAAACAAAGAACACCAAGATTTACGTGGAAATCCTAAAAGGGAAAAACCACGGATAGAGAGAAAAATTTCACTAATATGAAGGAAGAAAGTACAAGAAGATTTTGGTGAAAGAAAAACTTGATATCTAACCCCTATCCTTAGTATCTATTATAGTGATATATACTTGATTACAATGGAAAACTAAATAGAGTAGAAATCTACTTTAATAAAGTTCTCTACTTTTAATCAAACTAGGATTCTTACTTTCCCAAATTTAAATATTAATTTGTGTCACTTTGAATTCAAGTCAAACTCTAACAACCTCCACCTTGACACAAATTCTGAAAGTGAGAATGTTTCGAGATAAAACATCCAAATTTGATGATACACCCAAACTCAACAAAAAAAATTCTTCACTTCAAAGAACAATTTCTCCACCTCTTCAACAACACCCCTCAAAGGGGTAATCTTCACTAATGGATATCGATTGAATCCAAGCCTTTTCTAATCATGGATTTATCCTTCACATCAACATGATTATCATAATTTCCAACTTTTCTCACAAATATATCACCACGAGCAATATCATGCACAACACAATCTTGATCATCAATGATAATTCTATCTTCAAATTCTTTATGCCCGCGAAATTGAACTCTTTTCTGCTTCACATAATCGTTCTCCCCATGGTTATCTTATTAAAAAAAGTATTGTTTTGCTGGATTTAGCCAGGATGTTTATAGCAGTAACAATGTTATTTGACACGGGGATGAAACATAAGCTACATTATCTAAAACTTTTGAATCATGTTGAAAATAAAACTTGGCTGTTTTTCTCCACCCTTTCATCACAATAAGAGATGTAACACCCTAAACCCTATTAGTCCTAAAGTTTCACATTAAACTATCGAGATAACCCCTGATTTTAAAAAATTGTTCATTTTCATTCCAAAAACATAACACATGGTACCAAGATAGACCTACAAGACAGTTACAAAACATTTTATAAATCAAAGCTCCTTGACAAATAATTTAAAACCAAAATATTAAAACTCTGAGTTATAAATATGAATATAATAATAAGGGTTATATGAATACATATGCCCATTAAAGCTACTGAAGTAGATGCTGGAAGTCTTGTTGTGATGATGCTCTACAATCGACTCTAGCTACTAACTTGCAAAAACATCCGAACGCTAAGCTTACAAAGCCCAACAGTATAATCGTCAATATAGAGCAACATTATGAGTTTTATAAAAACAACCATGCTAAAGACATGGTACAAAGCAATATGTACATGCAAGATCTTAATCAACTGTCCTAACACTAAAGTAGGTGTCTCACGCTTTCGTTAATCCTCTTTTAAGAGCCTTGCCATGAGTACACCTCTAAAGGATCTCTAACCCTATTGATTGTACTATTACACATTATCTAAATGCGACACTGACACTCCTATGAATTATCGCAATGCAACAATAACTCTCTTGTGCATTATCTGAATGTAACACTACTTGTATCTGGTCTTTTTATAATCATCAAACACTAGTTAACCGAGGGAACTCGATGCCATATAGCATTGGTGAAATTCCCACTAAGCTACTAAACGATCTCTTAGTCTTACATAGCCATCATGTAGATCATGGAGAGGGAACTCGATTTCACTTAAAAACGGTAAAATTTTCGCTCATACGAAGCATTACCTCGGTCTTACACAGTCGTCAAGCCAAGTTTTAAGGATTTCTACTATACTAGACTGATGCAGTTACACATGAATATCTGAGGGCGCAAAGGCCACACAACATTGACAATGCTTTACTAGGGCAACTTAGGTAACCTAACTACACACTAGTGTAGCTCGACATACTAAAGTTTGGTCAACTTCTCACTAGTTTATATCTTACTCGTTCTCTCATCTAGAACAATATGAGAAGGTTAATTAGTCTGTTATTCATGATGATTTATTAAGTTGTTTTATTCTGGTCATTAACACTTAAGGGTATTTTAGTTATTTATGACTCTAAAGAGGTCCCTATGCATTTCATGATTTTATGACGATATTGATTATGCTTTATACTTAGTAGCGATAATCTAGTCCCTCTTACTACATTTTCCGTCAATTCACCCTTGAATTGGAGGGACTACTATACGTTCGTCATTTGTTGACATTCATACAATAAGTAACTCTGTTATTTTATAATCTGATTAATTCATCGTATCTCTTTCTGGTAGTATCGATATCTACTTATGGGCGTTAAAGAGGTCAAATCTAACCATCTAAATTGGGTGGTATTGATACCCTAGGGACAAGTATCGATACGCTATGAGTATTAGTATAAAAATTGGTTTCTGATGTTAAAATTAGGCCAATATTGATATTGTTACTATGAGTATTGATATTGTAGGGGTAGTATCGATACTCTCCCCAGCAGTATCGATACTCATTGTTGGAAATCCACTAATTTTGTCATGATTCATCCAATATTGTCACTTGAACACATAAATGACTTATTTAAGCTTGGAAAATACCAAAAAATCATCCCAAAGGTCTTAGTTTGGTTCCTAATCATGTGCTAAATCTTTAAGAAGTTATTTAGGGTCTTAAAGTGACATAAAAACATTCTTTACATCTAAAACATTATTTAATCATGAATTTAAGTATAAACCCTAAAATTCTCAAATACACAAATATTAAAAAATCTTCATATTTATGAGATCCTTAACACTCCAAAGGATTAGAAATAAACTACCTAGATGTTAGGATCTCGAAATAAAGCTCCTTGCTTAGCCACACTCCTGTCTTTTAGATTTGGATGAAAACTCCCACATTATCTTTAGCTAGAAAAAACCCAAGACTTGAATCATCAAACCAACCTTTCTAAAAGGATAGAGGACGAAATTGAAGTTTAAAGAAACATGAAAGGGTTCAAGGAACTTACCCTTAGCTAGGACACATGGAGAGGATGAAGGAGAAGGAAATGAAAATAGGGATAAAGAGAAGATAGATTTTTAAAGCTATAAAAACCCTTATCTTTTTATAAAGGTAAAATGGTACATTTGATCCTTCCTCATCTTTCTATTATTCAAAAATATTCTTTTCATGGCTGATTGGGCCCAATTCTATCCCAATTAAGCCAAACGACTTGAATTATGAAATTAATGGGTCCATATATCTCTTGGGTAAACTTGAAACTACTAGCCCGAGTTTTGGAGTATTACAACTCTCGTCTCCTTGAAAAAACACTTAGAAGTCTCTAAAACTTTATCATGTCTGATCCTTAAGGAAGAAGTCCCTGCAACATTACATGCAATTTGTAATTAGCAAAATCGATCTATGATTTTCTAAGGGCGCTACTTATACCAAACCTTTAACAACCTTCGAGAGGCCCAAGATTAGATATTCTCATTCTTGCTATCTAACACGGAATACTCAAAACGTTTCGCAAGAACAAAGCTACTCCCCGTTTTAAATTGGTGTTGTTGATCACTTTTACTAGCTAACTCTACTAAGTCGAGTTTACATACTGTGCAATTCTATAAATATCTGATGCTTGCTGAACTTAGGTAACTATTCATGCTATCACATAGAGGTTGTAACACCCTAATCTGATCCGACATGAAGTTTGGATGATTTAAATGTCACAGGAAACCACCTAAGTGGCTAACCATTTTTATTGAAAACATTTGACCAATTTAACATTCAAACATAATATAAAATACCCAAAATATAATACATTTACAAAATATAAGTATTTTAAAAATATGGGGGAGCTACCAAAAATAGTTTTCATAATACATGAGTACAAATAGAGTTTACGACTCAAATAAATATATAGGGTACTATAATAATACATGCCTATTATAATGCTCAAGATGTACTCTGTAAGATGAATAAATTTAGAAATCCTGAGTTTGGTGACATGTTCCTTGAACTGACACCTAAGGGCCTACGCACAAAAACACATTCCGTAGCCTAAGTTCACAAGCTCAGTGCCATACAAATAACCCTACTGTACTACATGCATTCAATAAGTAAGTATACTACAATTATGGTTATGAACATTACATACATTATCACAACAAAAAGAGTAAACATCACGCTGTAGCTCAGGATCACTTAGCATCACGAAACTCAAACCCTTATTTTCTTATTAAAGAACCTTAGGTAAGACCTAGGTCACACAATATCAACATCTCCCTGAACCTCGAGCTGATTCTGGGTCACAAA